TACAGACAGAATGCTTCTTAGAAACCAGGATGGCCAGACTTCGAGCATGTTGTCAGGAGGGACCTGTCCCTGGAGAATAGCATCATGCTTGGTAAAGTGGAGGGTCAGTGAAAAAGAGGAAGAACCCAATGAGATGGTTTGTCACAGTGGCAGCAGCAATGGACCAACAATTGTGAGGCTGGCGAAGGACGGGACAATGTTTCTTTCTGTTATGAATAGGGTTGCTAAGAGTTGGAACACACTCGATGGCACTTAACAACACCATAATTGGTATATGATTATCAGACTCCAAATTATAAATCTAAAGTCCTCAGTTTCTAAATTTGGTAAAAAAAATTAGCAATATAAAAATGTGTAGGCATTACCGAATAAGTCATTCATTTTGGATGCAGGTAACTTAGAGCAAAGATAATAGAAAAACAATTCAGGCTACATAAGATCGTTGTTGTTAGGTGCCGTTGAGTCGATTCCGACTCAGCAACCCTGTATAGGGTTTCCGAGATGCTACTGATAAGTTTGAACCACCAACCTTGTGGTTTAAACTGACCTTGTGGTCCAGTGCATTATCCTGCAGCGCCACACCAGGACTCCATACCAGTTATAGGTGAGTTATGACAGATTCTGTATCATATCGCTCAGGACTCTGTCCTAGGACACAGCTGGATGCCATATCAAGAACACAGGATTATTTGTCAGAAGAAGATTCACACTCAGATTTAGCTAGTTCTAAAGGAGCTCTGGTAGCGTAGTGGTTACGAATCGGGCTGCGAACCTTAAGGTCAGCGGTTCGAAACTACCAGCCGCTCCGCGGGAGAAAGATGAGGCTTTCTACTCCCGTAAAGATTTACACCCTCAGAAACCCTGTACAGGGTCGCTATGGGTCGGAACCGACTCGATGGCACTTAACAACAACAACAACAACAACAAGTCCTGGTGTGATGCTGTAGGATAAGTACTGGACTGTTAACTTCAGGGTCAACAGTTCAAACCTCCCAGCCTCTCCTCAGAAACCCTGTACAGATCACTATGAGTTAGAATCGACTCGACGGCACTTAACAAGAACAACAGTCAATTGGCCAAATAACTGCTGAGCTTCTGCTTCCTTGTGATTGATGTGAAAATAATACAAGGGTACTTTTAAGTCAATTGAAGACTTCCATTTATCTTTTAATTCCAGTTTTCCATGAACTTTCTGAAGTCCCTTCATAGTTCTACTATCAAGTGTTTTTGTGAGAAATATAGCAAGGTGTAACTAGTGCTCAATAAACATTAGGTATTATAACTTGATATTAGTAATATGTCAATATAAATTTAATACAAAGTAGTTTTTAATTTTAAGTTGAGACAAATGCCCTTGAACTCATTTGCTGTTCTTAATAAATTAGATATTTTAATAAACTTCATTTTTTGCATGTTAATATAGAGAATGAGTGTTACCAAACCCAGATTCTAAGTAAAAATATTTGTATCAGTGGTTTAAAGTAATCACAAGAGGCTTTGTGGTGAAAGTGAAACTTAAACTAAGGCTTATAAATTGGAAATAGGCTTGAGGAAGATAATTAAGTTGAGAACGCCCACAAGAGTTATCCTAGAGATAGGAGTGAATATGTATGGCATGTCTTGTTGTTAAGTGCCTTGGAGTTGGTTCCCACTCATAGTGATCCCTGTATAGGGTTTCCAAGCAACAGCCGGTGAGTTTGAACTTCTGACCTTGTGGTTCAGACTGATCTTTCAGCCCAGTGCTTTATCCGACCAAGCCACGCAAGGACTTCATGGCGTATCTAGGGACATTGCCTTTCAAGTGAACGTTAAATATTGTTCACTTGAAAGGACCAAGCTGGTGTATTCATGGCATGTCTAGGGGCAATGAACAGACTCACTGAGTCCTTTAAAGTGAACAGTATTTACTGGAGGAGCAAGATCTTCCAGTCTCATAAGGAGACAAGACAAACCTTGTAAAAACTAGCTATGACTAGTGATGTGGAGAACCAAGGGCGTTTGTATTCACTGAACCTTGTTTGTATTAAGTAATTAGATGGTAATGGTTGTAATTAGGTGATGGTTCTTATAAAATGTGATACAGCTTCATATTAGTGCAGCAAAGTAAACTTTATAAAATGTTTTATATGTTCCTATCAGGTTAAACATCTGCTGTATTCAATATGAAGACTAAAATCTTCCCCACCGCACCCCCAACTTGCTTGTGGCTAAGTTAGCTTTCGATCTTTCTCTCTGCTTCCTTATCTTCTTCATCTGTGACAAAGTTGGATCTGAAAGGTTTTGAGCTGATGGAATATTACTATAGCGTTCTTGAGATCTGTTTGTAGAATGAGACCTCAAAGTATCTCTGTGTCGCGACCTTAGGATGATAAGGTGATTGTCACACTGTCACAGTGTAGCAGCACTGTGTGTCATCAAGCAGAGGCTGGGGGAAGGGGAATCAGCCTCCTAGGTGGCAGGCAGCATGGCCTGGGAAAGAGATTAGCTATAGTCACACTGGCAATTGCTTAAAAAGTCCTGGGATAGCCTGTTGTTTCAGCTATCTAAAGAAGATAGAAGGGGCAACAATTTCTGCTTACGAAAAATTGGAAAATTCAAAGTATCCTTTTAAATCTCTGTCACTCTGGCTCTCACAATAGGTGAGCGCTCCCAAGTCTATCTTGCTGTTCAGATTGAAATAGGATAGGGGGATAGAAAAGTTAGCCAAGTCAGGGGGACACAGTGTGTAGCTCTCCACCCTGACAGCTGAGAAAGTACCTTAAATTACCTTGTAGGGAATCAATCCCAGAACAGAAATTGGGAAATGGGACTTATTTTGTATGGATGAACTCTAGGCCCTAGACTCTAAAATGCTGTGAGCATTCATTAAGCACATGAGAAGGGAAGGGACCCTAGGGACCCTTACACATCCATGGTTTGGCTTGGCTCACTAAGAGGTCCTGCCTTACCTCTTGCTAACTTGTGACAACTCTGGTTATGTGCTCCAAAGTTAGACTCTCTGTCTATGGTAGAGATAGATGGATTATCTAGAAACTGTAGGGATTTTTAAGATTGGATTTATAGAATAAGAAAACCTTTGACAGTAAGTTTTACTTGTCAGTTTATCAGAGACTGGCAGTTGAAAAACCTATGATTTTGAGCCATAAATACAGAATTGGCACCAGATGGCAGTCTTTTTGTGGGACATTTAAGCGTACTCAGATGAGTGTCTAAGATGAAATCACAACGATTATTTTTTGGTTTTCAGCTAAAAAAAAAAAGTAAATCATGTTAGAGTAATGACTTGAATAGAAATTAAACACATACTTAATTGAACTTGTGTAGTTGACTAGATAGTCTTACCTGATGATTAAGACAGTTTTTCTTATCTCTGTTACTCATCTTTGAATTTCTATTTCTCAACATATAGTCTAGTAGGTTCTTGATGGATGTTTAATGAATGGATTTGGCTGTATTTAATAGAGATAGTCCCAGCAAACACATGGCAGATGCAGCTAAATGATGAAGACACACTTCCCCACTGAGGTCTGGTGGTAATCTTCTTAAAACAGCATTAGACACACCTATGAGTCAGAGCCAACTCTATGGCACTTAACAACAACAACAACTATTATTCTAATGGGATTGTCATGGAGACAAAACTGATTTGTCATCTTGAATCTAGGCATAAATAAGTACTCTGAGAAATTAAACATGTATAATTCGTTTTAAAATATTTTATTGATTAATATTTATAAATATATATGTAGTTTTGCTATTTTAAGCATGCTATTCAGGGACATTAATTACATTTGCCATGTTGTCCAGCCATCACTGTTATTTCCAAAAGTTTTTAATTACTCCAAACCAAACCAAACCAAAGCTGTTGCAATCAAGTCGATTCTGGCTCATAGTGACTCTGTAAGAAAGAGTAGAACTGCCCCATAGGGCTTTCAAGGCTATAAATTTTTTAAGGATGCAGACTGCCAAATCTTTCTCCCACAGAGAGGCTGTTGGGTTCCACCAACTTTCCTGTTAGCATTGAGCATTTTAACCATTGTGCAACTTGGGCTTCAAAAGAAAGTCAGTATACCTTAAATAGTAGACTCCCATTCCTCACCTACAACTCCTGTAACCACTAATAGCTTTTGCATTGTTGCTTCTGTCTATTCTAGACATTTCGTATAAGTAGGATCATATAATATTCAAGCCACCATTTTTTTCCTTAGTGAAGGGCGTCTATTAAAGAAGATACTTTGGTGGTAGAGCAGCTGTGCAATTAGCCCTTTTTTCTTTCGTTGTTTTTTTTTTAAATGACTACAGTTCGTGAACCATAGTAAATACACTGTACACTGCGTGTAGTGTCCAGCACTTGTGTATATATGTATACATATGAATATATATTCACAACCCAAATCAACCCACTAAACTTCAAGCCAATTCTGAGATATAGTGACCTGATAGGACAGAATAGAAATACTCTCTAGGATTTCAGTGACTGCCATCTTTACAGAATTAGACTGCCATATCTTTCTTTCACAAAATTGCTGGGTGAGTTAGAACTGCTAATCTTTTAAGTTAGCAGCCAAATGCTTACCCACTGTGCTTCCAGGACTTTTACATCAACTATGGGTCGCTATGGGTCGGAACCGACTCGATGGCACACAACAACAACAACAACAATGGGTCTATGGTTCTAACCAATGGTATTTTGAACACAGCTGAAAGTAATAGGGAAGGAAACCAAACCTATTGCCCTTGTCAATTCTGGCATGCCCATATATTACAGAGTAGAATGCCTCCATAAAGTTCTCTTGGCTGCAATCCTTATGGAGAAGTTCACTGGTCCTTTCACAAAGCTGGTAGGTGGATTTGAACTGCCAACCTTAGGATAGCTGCTTATCACAATCCCATAGCATACTTTAGTTTCTTCTTTGTTGATTCACAGTTGGTACTAAGGTTTCACATGAATACATTTATCTGTTTGTTAATTTGTAGCAATAATTGTGATTCTTTTTAAGGGCACAATTAGAGAATGAAAAGAAGAAAAGAGAAATAGCAGAAAAAGAAAAGGAAAGAATAGAACGTGAAAAGGAAGAACTTATGGCACGTCTCAGGCAAATTGAAGAACAAACAATGAAAGCCCAGAAAGGTAAAAGTCTCTTGACAATGGATTCTTAATTGTTGCTTTGTTGTATTTTCTTACTACTATTAACTAATTTATCATATATAATAATTGCCTTTAATTTTGCCAAATTTATTCTTAGCCACCCTAGAGAAAGATGAGGCTTTCTGCTCCCACAAAGATTTTAAAAGCCTCGGAAGCCCTATTCCTATACAGGCTTGCTATGAGTCTGAACTGACTCCAAGGCCCTTTAACAACAATAACAAGTCACATTATAAAACATGTGACTAAGGTAGTTCAGCTGTGTAGTACTTAATGTGTTCTTTTTCTTCATTTACTAAAATGTGCAAATATTTTACATTTCCCCCTTATATATTGTGACTATATATATTAGTTTGTATCTGTTACTGTTCAGGGTTTCATAAAAAGAATTACATTTTCAGTACTTTTATGGCTCTAAACAAAAATATTTTTCTGCAATTAATGGGCATAAGATACTGTGACTATAAAAAGTTTGAAAACTGGCTTTGGAACCCAGCCCTTGACAAAGCTTTTATTCACTGGATTAGAAAATATACAGCACTTAGTTTATGTTTACTTGTACTTTTGATGACATGTTTGCAGGAACCTATTTCCTAGGCAGTTTGTAACAAAGCTTTTACAATGTATGGTCTCTGGTAGCATAGTGGTTATGAATCAGGCTGCGAACTGCAAGGTCAGCTGTTCAAAACTACCAGCTGTTCCGTGGGAGAAAGATGAGGCTTTCTGCTCCTGTAAAGATTTACAGCCTCGGAAACTCTTTATGGGATTGCTGTGAGTCTGAACCCACTCCACGGCACATAACCACCACCACCACCACACATAAAATACATTCAGTTAATAAAGTGTGGCTTTTATTTAAAGTCACTAGGCTGCAACTTGTTAGGGAGGTGCTCTTGAGCAGTGGATTGAATAATTTTGCAATTAATCCACAAACTTGTGTGTCATTTTAATTCCAAGAGTATTTCTAAGAGAAGAAATGGAAAGATCCTGAATTTTAGTCTGACACATTAGAAGCCTCACTTCTCTGAACTAGAGAAGACCTAGAAACTGTTTAGTTTCAAGTCCTGGGGTGGTGAAGAGACTGGCTTCAAGTCCACAACTCAAGGGCAGACTTGTTTCCTGAAATCCAAACTGGTACTAATTCTGCTTCTAAGCATCTTTCTTTTTAAAAAAATCTATCCACTTCAACATTTATTAAGTTTATTTTGTGCGGTAGTCTAGCAATACAAACATAAAAGGTAAATGGGAGTGTATATAAAATCTATATAATAAACAGAAATAAGATATAAATAAATATATTAAAAAGATGAGGGTAGTGTGTACTGTCGTGAAAAGTATGAGCAATAGTTTAGAGAAGGGAAGATGTAAAAAAGATTTCACATTTGTAGAGTATGTTAAAAAGGGAAGTTTAATATCATTTACATACTGAACTGATTTTAAAGAAAGGATTAAATGGGATCTCTGTTTTCATTTAAATAGTACCTTTTCTGAGAATAGCTGTTTACTAAGTCTTTCAATTTCATTTATTTAGGATGTATAATAAAAATATTAGTGATTTACATATAGAAAACTCATCAAGTAAAGAAGCATTAAAGAATTTAAGGAAGATAGAACATCCTTATCAAGATATAATTTCCAATCAGTCATCCTAAGGCAAAAGACATCAAATTTGATTTTTTGTTTTTAATTTCAGATAATAAAGCTTTCTCACATTGTTCTAAATTTTGCATGATTGTCTTGTAATTTATGGTAAATTCTCATCCAAGTACAGTAACTGAACATACATATATACATAAGGTGTGATATTTAGTAGGTAGATAAAACTATACTTTTTTTAGGGGGTGGGTAAAAGGAACTTTTCTATATGTCTTATTGCCATTTTATTTCTTTTTAATTTTATTATTTATTAACCAAATAAATCATGGTTCATTAGTCATTCTACCATTTTACACTTCTATAATATACCATTGTTCCATTAATCTCATTTATCTTTTTTCCCTTTTTTTTAACCCACTTTACGATATGAGGGGGCTTCAGAAAGTTTGTTGAAAAGTTGAATAAAAAAGGTTATGGAATTTTTCCTCAAACTTTTTGAAGCCCCCTCATAGATTGGTGACTGTATTTTTATATACAATATGACCAGGTCTGCATTCAGTTTTGACAAATATCCAAGTAAATTGTATTTTCAGGGTGCTTCTCACCCCCCCCCCCATTTGTGTCTTTATTGATTATAGGTTGTTGTTTTTTTTTAATGTTTTATTTTTCCTGTGTTTTGTCTAATATTTTTCATTTTAGTTACTTTAACATCCTTATTTCTTAACCCCAGTGTCAGAATGAGTATGGAACTTTTCTGTATTGTGTTTCACGCTCTTATTTTGGGCATGGATGGGGGGGAGGGGGAGTCAGTATGTTTAATAATTTATGCTTGAATGCTCAAGTATTGTTTGTGAAAATCTATAGGGACTTTGGATGATGTTGTTCTTTAGAGAGGATTTCATATTTTTTTTAGTTGAACTAGGTTCAGGCTGTTAAGATTGATTTCTTTGTGATTTTTCTTCACCACTCTTTGGTGTGTCATATAAAAGACTAGAATATTTATTTGTTATATATATGTGTATATATACACACATATACACACACACATATATATATATATATAGATATATAGATATATATATACACACATACATATATATATATATATACAGTTCAGCGCTACCCTACAGTGCCACACCAAGACTCCTTTAATCTTGTTCTTGCTGTTAAGTGCTATTGAGTCGGTTCTGACTGATAGTGACCCTGTATAGGGTTTCTGAGGAGCGACTTGTGAGTTTGAACTGCTAGCCTTGCAGTCCAGTGCTTATCCTGCAGTGCCACATCTTAATCTTTGTTGTTGTTAAGTGCTTTCAAGTCAGTTCTGACTCATAGTGACCCTTAATTTTACAGGTCCCTAATCTCAATCTCTGATTCCCCAGCTGCAAGAACATATTGATCACTCAGGTCTTTAGCCTCTTACAGCTGCTTTATTTTCATAGTGTCTTACCACATAATGAGTGCAGTTGAAGAGTTGCAAGACTGAGGAAAACTAGTACATTCATTATTGTTCACTCCTCTTCAGGATTTCGGCCTCCTAAACCTTGGCTGTTTTGGCAGTCCCTGCTGTATTCTATTCTCTACTGGGAATAGGCAAAGTGTCTATTTTTGTATGCAAAATAAACAGATATACAACATATACACAAACATATTCTTGTTTCTACTTTTGTACACAAAAAAGTAGTGTACTAAATAAACCTTTTGCTCCTTGCTTTTTTTTTTTTTTTTTTTTTTTCAATTAGCAATACATCTTGAATAATGACTCCAAATTCATTGTGGAGTTTTTTTTTTTTTTAGTGATGATATAATCCTCCATTTTGTTTAGATGTACTACAAATACAGGTATGCATCCCTTCTTAATATCTGTTTGTCTGACTGCATATTTGTCTATGGTCCCGTTAAGTTTTTTTTGTTTTGTTAAAGGGAAAGCAACTCTCTTTTTGTTTATTATTGTCCCCTAATGGTGTGGCGTTGTAAGTTAAATCACTGGACTGCAAGGTCAGTTTGAAGCTCAAGATTGGCAGTTCAAACTCACCAGCTGCTCCTCAGAAACCACCCTTTACAGGGTCTCTATGACTCAACAGTACTCAACAACAACAAGAACAATGGTTTTAAAGACCCCACACCCAGACTTGTAGCACTGGGCCATAGATAGGATACATGCTGTGAGGCAGAGGATATGGCTCTGGGCATGGGTTCTCAGGCTTTGTAGGCAGCGGGCCAGGGCTTTGGGGTCAGGCTGCTGCTGCTCAAGTGGGCAGAATAGCAGGTGTGACCGGGCACATGCTACTCCTTCCCCATTTGTCTCTCAGTCACTGCTACTGCCAGTACCCATTCCTCTGGCCTTTGCCCTCAACTTTAGTAGCAGCTGCAGCAGCAAGTACAAACAGAACAGGCTCCCATAAAATGTTAGTATTGTGTTTGCATAGTGTCCAGTTTCACAAAATGATCATGGATATTAAGTAGTAATACATACCTATATTTTAAAATTGCTTTTTAAGTGAGTAATTTGTGTTCATATTCTTAATTTATGATTTCTAAGAATTTTGGTAAAATTTTTCATTTCCTTTTTTTTTTTTCTCCAAAATAGTAACTTTCCCAGGGTAATTTTAAAAAGAGAGAGAGAGACACTTTATAATGAACTATTGCCTTTAACTGGAAAGAGGAAGGAAAGTCTGTAGTCCTTTTGGGATATTGTGTTAATTAATGCACTCTTTACTAGTAGTACTGCTGTAGTTCCATAGCTTCTAATTAATATTCACTCTTGGGGTAAAATAAATTAAGGTATCATTTGTCTCTCAAAATCTTAGATCTGCCAAAGCCAAGTTATGCTTAGGTTCAAGTCTGATTAAGAAAGAGAAGTTTTTGCAGTTTTGATTGGCTTGAATTTTGAGTACCTTTCCTCATCTACTCCCAATTAGACACCATATCCATCTACATCAGGATGGTGTTTAATGAGAGAAGCAGCTAATTCTCATTAACTTTAACCTTTGTTCTAAAAGAGCTGATTCTCTAACTAAGCCCAATTTATTTTTCCCATGTGCTAAGCTTCATATATTCTAAGTTCTGGAGTTTTTAAACTAGTAGAAAAAACTGGTATTATTCACCTTTTTCATCTGATCCTTCTTTTCAGGTATTGTAATTGGATCCCCAATCTGGTGCTATATTATTGTTTTTTAGAAACATTCAAACTCATAGAGTTTGTAAACTTTTTATCCAAAGCACCAAATAGTAAATATTTCAGGCTTTGTAAGGAGCTCTGGTAGCGTAGTGGTTACGAATCGGGCTGCAGTTCGAAACTACCAGCTGTTCCACGGGAGAAAGATGAAGTTTTCTGCTCCCATAAAGATTTACAGCCTCGGAAACCTTGTACAGGGTCACTGTGAGTCGGAACTGACTCTACCGGACTCAACAACAGGCCATATAGTCCCTTCCACACCTACTCAAGTCTAACTTTGTAACATAAAAGGAGCCATGTTGTTGTTATGTGCCGTGAAGTCGGTTCTGACTCATAGCGACCCTGTCCAGGGTTTCCGAGGCTGTAAATCCTTACAGGAGCAGAAAGCCTTATCTTTCTCCCGCGGAACAGCTGGCAGTTTCAAACTGCTGACCTTGCGGTTCGCAGCCCAATCCGTAACCACTACGCTATCAGAGCTCCTAATCAATATGAAAATGGATGAGATGGTTGTGTTCCAGTCAAGCTTCATTTTTACAAGAAGGCAGTGGGTTATATTTGGCCCACAGACCATAGTGTGCAACCCCTGTACTAACACAGTTAATTGGAAAGGAAAAAAACAGGAAATTCTTACCCTTTCTAGAAGAGATGGAATAAATTTTAGTTTATTTTTGACAATTAAACATTTTTTTATAATCTTTGACTATTTATTAGTATACTATAAACCATCCTGGTGTGGTGCTTTGGAATAATGTGCCAGACTGCAAAGCCTTTTGAATTGCAAGGTCGGTGGTTCAAGCTCACCAGCTGCTCCTTGGAAACCCTATAAAGGATCGCTATGGGTCGGAATCAACTCAGCAGCACTTAACAACAACATAAACCATTCATTGTCCTGGCTATTATTTTAGATTGGATAAGTCTTACAAAAAGATAATAGAAAATTATTAATATAGAGAATGAGTTATTTCAGTTTGTATAACTTTGTAACTCAAACTTATTTCTCTTATTTCATGCTACAGAATGAATTTTTATTACAAAAGAAAAAGAACATTGCTTTTATTTTGTAAACTTGTAATTGTTTGTTTGTTAGATGGATGATGAAGCCATAAACCTGTACAGTTTAATTTATATGTAAATCAACCAGATGGAAAGAACGATGATTATAAGCTGACCACCAGATGAAAATAATAGATAAGCTAGCCTTTATTCTTTATTGTTCATATTTTAGAAAATTCTAAAAGGAATAATCCTAGAATTTAGCTGTGGTAACTTCTAATATTGGAGTCCTTGGGTGGTGTTGCAGGATAAAGCCACTCCTCAGAAACCTTTTACAGGGTCTCTATCAGTTGGGACCAAATCAACAGCACACAGTAAAAACAGCAACAGTGTCTCATATCATATCCATCATCTTTATAGGTAAATGACCACGTAGTAATTTGTCATTTTTTTTCTTATCAAGAACTTAAAGCCTAACCAAGAGCCCTTTTTGTTTCCCAACTCTTACAAATGCACCTGAGTGTTAATTCCAGTTACTTACATTAGTTCTGCCAAGCACCAGTCGCTCCTTGGAAACCCTCTACAGGGTCGCTATGGGTCGGAACTGACTCCACAGCACTCAACAAAAACAAAAAGTTGCTCTGGGAGTCCTGCTGTGGCGCACAAGGACTGCAAGGTTGGTGGTTCAAAATCACCCAGCTGTTCCTCGGGTCTACAGCACCTAATAGGAACAACAACAAGGAGTTCTGAGGTGGTGCTATGTAGGATAAGCACTGGACTGCTAGCCACAAGGTCAGGCAGCTCAAGCCCACCAGCCGTTTCTTGGAAACCGTATACAGGCTTTCTCTAAGAGTCAGAACCATCTTGACAGCACTGAACAACAATAAGGAGCCCTGGTGGCACACTGTAGAATAAGCACTAAACTGTTAACCACAAGGTTGGCAGGTCTGATCCATGAGCCAGTCTCATGGGAGAATGCCGAAGTTTCTGCTCCTGTAAAGATGTACAGCTGCAGGAATCCTATACAGGGTTGCTTTGAGTTGGAAGTGGGAAATGCAGCAAAACTAAAAATGGAGAGTAGAAGCTTGTACTTTATAGTTAGCTTTCAATTTTCATGGCAAATATTTTCACTCTTTCCCCTCTTTTCAGAAGAATACAGAAGGAAACATCATTCCTTGTGGGACATTCTGTTTTCTGATATAAAACCTACTTTCTAGTAAATAGGAATTGTCAGAATAGTATTTAAAATTAGTCCTTAAAATTATTGTAGAACAAGTGTTCTGGTTGTATGCTAGAGTTACTTTCTTTTGCCATTCTCATAGGGGTAAGAAAGGGGATTAATTTATATGAGCTATGCATTTAAAGGTTAATATTTATGTTGTTAAGTGCCTACTCATAGCGACACTGTATAGGGTTTCCAAGGAGCAGCTGGTGAGTTTGAACCACTGACTTTGAGGTTCATACCGATGGCAGTCCAGAGCTTTAGCCCACAGCACCACACCAGGACTCCTTATGTTACTCATCTTTAAATATCAGTTATTTTCACTAGGCCATGTATATCCAATACTCAAATTTTTAAAAAATTCAAGTAATTCATATCAGCATTCCTATTTTAGGTTAATAGATACTGTTTTCAACCTTTTGTTTGTTTACTTAATAATTTAGATAAAATCCATGTAAGTTTTAAGATACAGGTTCACAAAGTAGATGGCAAATTGTTGACTAAAGTCAGAACTTTAAATGAAGTTTTTTTTTTTTTTTAAAGTGTGCTTCTAGCTTTCTGTCTTACTTGAATTACAAAGAATTTTAGTTTCCTTTCAGTTTTTAAATGGTGTAGTAGATTTTTCCCCACATTGGTTAGGTGTTTGACAAGGTAAAAATGAAGTTATTTGTGCATTTGCAGATGTGTTGATGTTTAGAAACTGGCAAATTTGATTTTTAGGAATTTACCGATTATTTGACAATGAAAACAATTTGAATTAATCATTTGGTGGGGGGATACAAACATATATTTGACAGAGCTAGAAGAACAGACTAGACGAGCTCTGGAACTGGACCAGGAACGAAAACGAGCAAAAGAAGCAGCAGAACGGCTTGAAAAGGAGCGTCGAGCTGCTGAAGAGGCTAAAGCCGCTATAGAAAAACAAGCTGCTGACCAGATGAAGAATCAGGAACAGCTAGTAAGGAACCTGTCTTAGAAAGAATAATTTTCTTAAGTATAAATTTTGACACTTAACAATTATCAAAAAATGGGGTCCTGGTGTGGTGCTGTAGGATAAGCACTGGACTGCTAACTACAAGATCAGCAGTTCAAACCCACCAGTCACTCCTTGGAAACCCTACACGGGAGTCGCTGTGAGTCGGAACTGACCTGATGGCGCTTAACAACAACATTGTCAGCAAAATGATCTGATTCACTAAGCGTTTGGTTTGGACAGGTTCATCAATAAGCCAACAGATATGTTTCACTTTAGATAAACAGGCACAGTGAATTTTGAGGTCCTGGTGTGCTGTGGGCTAATGTGTCAGACTAATTCATTTGAACTGCAAGATTGGTGGTTCAAGCTCACCATCTGCTCCTTGGAAACCCTACACAGGGTCGCTATGGGTTAGAATCAGCTCGATGGCACTTCACAACAACAGCAACATGAGATAACTTTGGCCATAATTGGTTGGCGTTTTTTGTGTGGAATTTCATGTAATAAGGAATAGGCATGACCCTTTACATGGTCCTGGTATTAAATGTCAGTTCAGATGTTTTTTTACTATGCATCCTTCTGAGCCTCACTTTGAAGCAGGGCTTCTAATTGGTTCAGTCATGGCTGACAAAGCAAAACCAAAACAGACCTGAATTTTTGAAGGGTACTTGATCCAGAGAACTGACTGGAATGGTAAAAATTAGGGGTCAAAGCCTTGGAGTAGGAGACTCAGTAGAGGCAGAGTGAGCCCTTTCAGAAACTTTCTGTGTGACATTGGATTTGATCCCAGGACTGTGAAGAATAGTAACAGTTTTTCAAAGTGGCATAGTTGGCTGCCATTTTTGAGCCTGGTATGGCGATTTTTAACTGAGCCAACCAAAACGCAAAAACTTTGGTTGCTATGCAATGTCCAAACTCTCCTTCTTTTCTAAGAGGAAGATTACAAGTTTTTGACAGGGATTCACCTCATAATTGTGCATGTTCTAGTCTGTGTTCTAAGAAGTGCTGGTGATGTAGTGATTACAAGTCAGGCTGTTAACCTTAAGGACAGCAGTTCAAAACTACCAGCCATTCCACGGAAGAAAGATGAGAGACTTTCTGCTCCTATAAAGATTTACAGCTTTGGAAACCCTGTTGTGCAGGGTTGCTGTGAGTCAGAACTGATTCCACGGCACACCACCACGAGCAGTTAGTATTCTGGTTAACTCACATTTTAAAAATTTAGATCCATTCTGATATTTCTTAATGGGCCATAACATGTGGATTGAACTGGTTTGAAGCGCTGCTTTGAAGAAAGGAAAATGCCACCTAATATGATTGCTTGTTTATTAATAAAAGTTTAAATAAAAAAATTATAAGTTACTCATTTTAAGTTCTGATCACTGAAATAAGACAAAGTACTTTTAGAGTAGTAGACATTTTCTTTTTTGAGTCCTGGTATGACGCTGAAGGATAAGTACTGGACTTCTAACTGCAAGGTTGATGGTTCAAACCCACCAGCCGTTCCTTAGAAATCCTACACAGGGCCATAATGAGTCAGAACTGACTTGACAACACTTAGTAACAACAACAGACTTTTTTCACTTTCTTGCCCTAGACTAAATCATTTGAAGGTCCTGGTGTAGCACTGTAGGTTAAGCACTAGACCACAAAGTGTGTTTGAAGTGCAAGGTCAGCTGAAAATCCTCTACAGGGTAACTGTGCGTCGGGGCCAACTCAATGGCACTTAAAAGCAACAGCAACACTATAAGATGTATAAGATCTTTAAAAGAAACCCACCATATCAAACAGCCCCAGCATGTACATTAAAGATTTGTTGACTTCACATGTCACAAGGTTACTGAAAATATAGTATTTTTTTAGTCTTGGTAATTACATTTTTTTGTTTTAGGCGGCCGAACTTGCTGAATTCACTGCCAAGATTGCACTTCTAGAAGAAGCCAAGAAGAAAAAGGAAGAGGAAGCTACTGAGTGGCAACACAAAGTAATAATTGATTTGTTCACTCAATAGCATTTACTAAATACCTTTTTGTACGCAGCAGTATGCTGATATGTAGAGATGAATGTAAGACACAGTCGTAATTTACATTGTGTGTGTATTGTAATCTATTGTACTTTGGGAGCACTCAAAGATGTGATCATTTATGTGAGGGTGAGGTAAAGTTGGAGAAACCCTTTTAAGTTTAATAAAAAATTGGATAATAAATCAGATTTGGGGGTATGAAAAATCAGAGGGAACTGAATGACTATAGGAAGTATACTTATTGAGTATTGAGGACCACCATTAAATGACCAAAGTTTAGATTATACTCTCAGAACTGTTGGGAAATATGACTGGGAAGTTATGTCCTAGGAAGTTAAATTGTAAAAGGTTTCAAATGTCCTGTTAAAGCAAGGGCGTTTAGTGGATGTGTCTGTAGATAATGGGGCTCTGAAGATTTCAAAATAGGACTGTAACATAATCAGGTGGGATTTCATCAAAATAATTTAGAGAGTAGTGTCATAAGTGGATTTGGATAGTGGTTAGGAATATCTAAGAGAAAGCTAAACTAAGGATACAACAGGAGTCCCTGGGTGGTGCAAACAGTTAATGTGCTCAACTGCTAACTGGAAGATTGCAGGTTCGAGCCCACCCAGGGACACCTCGGAAGAAAGGATCGCAATCTACTTCCGAAAAGATTTTTGCCATTAAAAACCCTATGAAGGACAGTTCTATTCTGACACACATGGGGTCGCCATGAGTCGGACTCGACTCTTTGGCATCTGGTAGAAGGATATGGCAGTGAGATAAAGAGGTAGACGCAAAAGAGCATGGCAACTAAATGAGTGAATATGACGTTGAGTAAGAGGAATGTAAAGACGTTTGCATTGAGATTTCTAATAGAAATTTCTAAGTACAGGTAGGCTTCAGATTATGAACATCTATATATGGACAATTCCTAGTTGCTCTTTAATACAAAGCTTCGAAGAGGTTTTGTCATAGTTGATTAAATGAAATAGGAGCAAGACTGGTATTTTTTAAATTGAGTCATTTATTGCTATAATCGGAATGGGAAAAATCATAGGTTGAAATCTTGGAATGGGAGATTTGGAAGAGACATAGTTAGCCCTTTCAGGACCCTGAGTCTTGAAATGGAATTATTGGAGGGATGTGGAGAACCACACACATTCAAAGCCATGTGGCCTGCCGCCATCTTTGAAGCCCTGCTTTAATATTGTATATAAATTTGCTCTCACTTTGAAGTGATTGAATCAGCCCCTATAGGCAACAAGCTCTTCATTATAATTACCTTCACTTGATGCATTGTTGTTGTTAAATGCTGTCGAGTCGATTCCGGCCCATAGCGACCCTATATAGGCTTTCCAAGGAAGCAGCTGGTGAGCTTGAACCACTGACCTTGCAGTTCAAATGGCTTTTCAGTCTGGCGCATTAACCCACAGCGCCACACCAGAACTCCAGTTTTAAACCATTGCAAAGGCTCTGAGCCTTTGCTTGTACTAAAGTAAGACTAAATGAGAACCATATGTACCTGTTCCAACTTACCTACACATTTTTAAAGAACCGGGAACCAATCTCTAGATGAAACTGCCATGGTCTGAAGAACACAAATGAAAACCCACGCTTACATTTTGGAGAAGTAGGCAATACAAGATAACAAGAGTTCAAACATTTTTGGCTGAGATGCATGATAAGGATATCCAATAATTTATCATCCACACTGGCACAAATTTGCAAGTGAAAGGGGTGTAAAGCACCAAGACATTGTGTAAAACAGGACTTCCGTAGACAAACCAGGACACTGTGATCACGCAAATCATTGGTGATGTTAGATACTTCATGTTGTGCCCTATCAGAAGACATTTAATATGTAGTTAACTCACTGTTGGTGAGTTTTAATTGATTATTGGATTAAGTACTGGCCGTCTTGATTGATTTCTTCCTTGTCTGATTACATTTTTTACCCCTGTAGCTAAAAAGTAATATATTAGTATTCTGTAAGATTATATGCATATCTATTTCTTTTCAACATAATGGTTTTAGCAACAATGGATAGATAATCTTTTGTCAGAACTGATCATTTTATTGTATAGATAGCCACTGTCAAGTTGACTCCAGCTCATGTACAACAGAATGAAATGCCTGGTTCTGCCTGCAGCATCCTCACAGTTCTCAAGCATGTTTGAGTCTAATCCTTGGGGCTGCTTTGCCCATCCATCTCATCAAGGGTCTCCCTTACCTTTACTGGCCCTCTGCTTCACTGAACTTGATGTCTTCCTCCAGTGATTGTTCCCTTCTAATGGCGTGCCCCAAGCAAGCGAGTTGACATTCTTCTGTTGTGACCCATTGGCTAGTTTTTGGAACTACATCACCAAGCCTGTCTTCCTAGACTGTCTTTGTCTGGAAGTTCTGCTGCAGTCTGTCCACTGTGGGTGTGGCTCTGCTAGTATTTGAAATACCAGTTGTATATCTTCCAATATCACAGCAACATGCAAACCACCAGAGTACGATGCACTGACTAACAACTGGTGGAATTATTTTAACAGGATTTGAAAAGTAGTATTTTAATTCTATCATTGCTTCTACTTGTTGGTATTATTCTGTGAACTTGTGGCTTTCAGCAACAGGGCCCATGTTCACTACCCTGAAATGTCATTTCTATTAAGGCAGACAAAGGACTTCAGCCCTTTTAATTACCAGTTTTCAGAGGAAGTTGTTCATAAACTTATTTTTAATGTTCAGGCTTTTGCCGCCCAGGAAGACTTGGAAAAGACCAAAGAAGAGTTAAAAACTGTGATGTCTGCCCCCTCTCCACCTCCACCACCACCAGTCATTCCTCCAACAGAGAACGAGCATGATGAGCATGATGAGAATACTGCTGAGGCTAGCGCTGAATTACCATATGAAGGAGTAATGAACCATAGAAGTGAGGAAGAGCGTGTAACAGAGACACAGAAAAATGAGCGTGTTAAGAAACAACTCCAGGTACTGAGAATTTGCAGCTATATGCACATTTCAATTAGAGCTTGCATTTTTTTCCATCTATTCAGGCAAATATATTAAAAGGAAGTAATTATACAAACCAGTTACTTCACCTTTAACCCTAGATGGCCAAATAATTTGGTTTGTAAGGGCTTCACCTACATTCATTTCATCTCTGTATGAACCCATTAGCAAATGAATAAATGTTTGTTACGAATCCCATTTGCCATTGAGTTGACTCCACGACTCAGGGTCACTGCAGTATGTTAGAATAGAACTGTACTGTGTCGGGTTTTCAGTGGCTGATTTGCTCGGAAGTAGATTGCCATGCCTTTTCTTCCAAATATCTGCTAGCTTCTGTGTAATGAGGACTTAACAAGTTAAACAGTAAAGTCTACATTGAAAAATAGTGCTGTAGGATAAGCACTGGACTGCTGATTGCAAGGCTGGTGGTTCATACCCACCAGCCTCTCCTTGGAAACCCAGTTCAGGGTCGCTTTGAGTTGGAACCAGCTTGACGGCACTTAACAACAGCAATCTTTAATAAGATATTAGATGGTGGTTGTGTGTTGTCAAGTCAGGTCGGACTCATGGCAACCCTGTATAGGGTTTCTGAGACTGTAAATCTTTGCGGGAGCAGAAAGCCTCATCTTTCTCCTGAGGAGTGGTTGGTAGATTTGAACTGCTGACCTTAATGGTTAGCAGCCCAAAGTGTAACCCAGTCTACTACCTGGACTCCTTTTTAAGGTATTACGTAATGTGAATTATTTGTCTAGATTTTATAATGGCAGAGGGTCAGTTTATTAAGTGACGTAATTAGGTCAAAATAGGAAATTTTAGTATTGTTAGAGCTTTTATCTAGAAAATTTTGAAATTGGTTAAATCTTTAAATATTGGTAAAGAAAATGAGATGATGTTGTAATAAACATTTTAGGACCTTTGAAGATTTTAGGTTGTATAGTAACATTTCTCTATGATGGCTACCAGTTGTCACTGAGTTCATGTTTATTCATGGTGATCCCATGTGTGTCAGAGTAGAACTGTGCTCCATACTGTCTCCAATGACTGATTTTTTTGGTCGTCAATAGCCATGCCTTCTTCTGAGACACCTCTGGCTGGGCTTGAGCCTCCAACCTTTCAGTTAGGAGCCGAGAGTGTTAATCATTGGCAGTACCCAGGGACCTCCTATAGTGGCTACAGGAAACTTTTTCTAAGTCATGTAAATTGTTGGATGTAAAAGTTGAGCTAATTCACAATAGTGTGCAAACATAGTTGATGTATATAAGAGTGAACGGCTCATGGTATTCCTTCTTAGCCACTATCGTCACCAATACTAAAAGTAAAATTTTAATTAATTTTTTTTATAATGGAAATTTTAATACACTGAAATGTCAAAGATTTGGTATGTTTATATTATACATCTGTATCTTTAAGCCGTTTTCTAAATTTTTTAAAATCTAAAGAAGTAAATAATATGTGTAATTTTTTATTTTTTAAACATAGGCGTTAAGTTCGGAATTGGCCCAAGCCAGAGATGAAACCAAGAAAACACAAAATGATGTTCTTCATGCTGAGAATGTTAAAGCAGGCCGTGATAAGTACAAGACTCTGCGACAGATTCGACAAGGCAATACAAAGCAGCGTATTGATGAGTTTGAAGCAATGTGAGAGCTGTTATTTTGCATACATGTTCTTCATAAGCTGAACCACCAACAGAGAAAAGCAGGCCTTTGCAGATGTGATGGAATGCATCTTACCTTGCCAAAGCACTTATACCAGTTTGACTGTGGTGGTTAAGAGACAAATTTAAGGGGAGCTCTTCAACATTAAGGCAGTGTGATGTCATGCTTGATTTCTTTTTCTTTTGGGCCAGGAAACAGAGAACAGTGTTCCATCACCTTCGCTCATATTTCGTTTCCATTTTTTTTTTTTTTCTGTTAACACTAATGATCATGTCTGACAACTGTGTATGTGTGGTTTGAGCACTTTGAACATTTAAAAATGGATAATGGTAATTTAAGTGTTTAGATAGAGTACTCCTCTCTTTCCCCTTGCCCCTTCCACATTCTCTCACCCACAGTGTGCCTTCTCATATCCTGCCATGCCGATAGCCAGGATTCTGCCTTCATGCAGATCATTGGCACTGTTTAAAATGAGGGTAGATGGAAGGTGGGCAGTGTTTAATCATTGTATAGAAGGTGGCTATGAATCATGAAAAGGATTTGAACATTTTACTACTGTAGTGTACATCTGGTGGCTAAATTTTGTGAATCCCAATTCTTGAAAATTTAATATTTGCTTACTTTACTGCAGTCATCTTTGACAGCTGGATTGCTTGGTGTTTCATCTCGTGCCATCCTTTGATGGTTTTCTTTGCTGATTCATATTAAGATGTTAACAGCAGGTATCAATTCTGTAGGAGAATTTTTTGACAAAACACCATCTGCAAATAACAGTTGTCTCTGAAAGATTTGAATAGTACTGTTCTTTCATAAATGAATTCAGAAAAACGCATGTTTAAATACAATAAAATATTCACTTGTTGGGAATTGATTTTAATCATTAAGAAGAAAACGCTGGATCTTTCTGGAAGGGCAGCATATGAAAACAATAGTCCCAAGGGAGGGGACAGTAGATACTACCTCACTACTACACCTGCGATGACTAGTTGTTCAAACACAGTGGAATGTGTAAGCTGTATGTTTTATACTACATAGTGCTACTTTTGGTCATGAAGGAGTATTTTTGCATTTTCATTTTCCTTCAGAATATCCTAGAGTGCTAAATTTATTAACTGCCTTTTTGTTGAGTTTTGAATTGTAGGACTCCGGCATGTATGTAAACTCTTGCTGGTATACTATCTCCCTAGAGGAATGGTGTGTGTGTGTGTGTGTGTGTGTGTGTGTGTGTGTGTGTGTGTGTGTGTGTGTGTGTGTGAGAAAGAGAGAGTGGATGAAAGACATGCTGTCCTTGTTGCATATGAAGAAATGTTGTGTCTTCATTTCTTGTTATAATTATTACATAATCATTTTAGCATATTTGGTTTCTAAATCATTGTGCTTATTTTTTTAATCAGTTTAAGAAGACTTAAATTTGGTTTGTTAATCCTATTTTAGAATTCTAATTTAGGTTTTGTTAATTTCATTTATGTCTTACTGAAAAAGTCTTTCCAATTAACATGTTCTAGATTTGAAGATAAGGATAGCCTTGTTTTCTCTGTGTGGTTCAGCTACTTTCCATTTGGTATTATGCACTCAAATTACATTTATCAATTAAAATTGCCATTTTATGAAACATTTTTCATGCATAGTAGTTTCAAATTATATCTGAAAATATTTGTGCTTTTTTTGATTTTGCTTACTATAAAAGGATTAATCTGGGCAGACATTATGAAAAGGAAAGGTTGCATTTAATATATTTTTTGAACTTTGTAGGACAAAAGGTAATTGGTAAACCTTGAGGTGACTGTTGTACAGTGGTTGCGCACATGCTTCAAACCCCATGGAAGAAATGTTTCTACTTGCAGGCCATCACAGGAATGGATGGTTAGCTCTATGATTCAAGCATTGAAACACAAGTACTCACTTTTCCAAAGCATTAAAGCAAATGCAATCAGAGATGAAAACCTGGGTTTCCATTGGTTCTTTATGAATTTTCCTCATTTTGAATTGTGTGTGCTACCATTGCTATATCAGTTTGATATCAGTGTTGAAAAACTACCAGTTATATTTGCTGTTTATAATCTAATTGTAGATTAGGATTAAAATGGATATAATCCATTTTTAAAGCTGTGTGAATTTTTCTAAACAGGAACAAACATTTGTAATATGGGTTTTCATAGTGATTAAACCAATTATAACTTTTATCATTAACAGTGAGAGCACATGTTCTTAGAGCAATGTAAAGATACATTCATAAAGATTTGATAAATTCCAACAGGCTTTACCATTAGCATAATTTTGTGTTGTACAATTAAATTACAATTACATCTATAATTTTGGATAACATTCATTGGTTAACAATAAAGTTACAAAAGCTCATGCCGTCAAGGTCCACTGTTGTTATTATTTAACACAGATTTCTTGCAGAGAGCCTGAAAATGATCATCTCTGGTAGAACCATGAGTCATTATCACATACTACGAAGGAGAAGTAGATAGGGAAAAGCTGCTGTTGAAAATATTCATAAACTTACTCTTTTCCCAAAAATTGTACCTCTGTTGGTACTAGTGATTACTAATTCTGTGGAAAAATCAAATCTTTAAATTATAATGACTCTCTTGACAACAGAAAATAATTTAGGATTTCTAATCATTGTATGGACAGACAACGACGAGGATAGGTGTGATCTGTACAATGAATGGAAATCCTTTGTGTATGGATGAAGTCCTGGTGTAGCACTGTGGGTTAATGCACTGGACTGCAAAATTGGTTTGAATCACAACGTCAGCAGTTCAAGTTCACTAGTTGCTCCTTGAAAACCCTATACAGGCTCGCTGTGGGTCGGAACCAACTCAACTACACTTAACAACAGTATTCATTGCATAGTGTTTAGCTTCTTTTTCCTGAGGAAGATAAAATTTCATTGTCATTAATTCCTGTCACTATTAAAATGCAAATGTCCTTTATAGAACCTTGCACTAAGCTTATTTATTTAAATGCATAAATCTATTTTAAAACAACATTATGGAATAGTTACCATGAATCTAAAAGTTTTTTAAAACAGCTTATTTTCTGACAATTAAAAATAAAGAACTTTTGTAAGTGATAAATCTCAGAATAGTTTTAAAGTCAGATGTAGACTCAGTTTACTACAATGCTTAACTGTCACTTTTTCCATTTTCAAGGGCGGTCACATTGCTCCTGTCAGAAAAGAGAATTTCATTTAATAATATTTTCTTATCAATAAGAAATGTTTTCCCCTTTAGTAACTAAAATGACCATGTACAGTTATTTAAGACTTTATTGAAACTCATTTCTGATTATCATTAGAAAAGTGCTTATATTAATTAGTTTGTATATAAAAAAAATTCCTATCGCTTTCTGCCCCATTTTTTGATTGGTGATTTTTTTAGAAATGAAGATGGTAGGATACAAAACTTTTCAAATCCTATTGCATTTAGACAGGATAGAGGAAGTCTTTTTAAAGCTAAAATTTGAAACTGAAACGTAAGAATTTCTGGTAGCGTGTAGTAGTGACGAGTCGGGCTGTTAACCTCAGGGTCAGCAGTTCGAAACTACCGGCTGTTCCGCGGGAGACAGATGAGGCGTTCTGCTCCTGTACAGATTTACAGCCTTGGAAACCCTGTGCAGGGTCAGGATGAGTCGGAACCGACTCCACAGCACACCACCGCCATCAATTTAATGATCTGTTTAAAAAATTAAAGTTTGATGAGAATAAGGGAAAACATTGAAATATGTTGTTGCACTGGCAGATTTCTCTTAAGTATGTTCTAAATAAACAGAAATTTAATATTATCTTTTTCTATTCTTTATTTCTTCATTCTTTTTAACTAGACAATGTTTTATCACTATTTTAATACAGAACATAGAGTTGTGGTGTGGCTCTGTGGGTTATTGCGTCACTGCAAGGCCACTTGAACTGCAGGGTTGGTGGTTCTAGCTCACTAGTTGCTCCTTGGAAACCCTATACAGGGTCGCTATGGGTTGGAACCAACTCGACGGCACTTAACAACAATAATATAGAATGTAGAATAACAGTAATCTAGTACATCTCAAAAACAGTAATCTAGTACATTTCAAAAGCTTGGTGAATTCTGTAGATATTTTGGCAACTTCAGAAAATGTGAAGAGAATCTGACTCTTACTACACTAGTCGTTGTTGTTAAGTGCCATTGAGTTGGTTCTGACTCATAGTGACCCTGCATAGTGCTTCCAAATAGTGGCTGGTGGGTTTGAACCACTGACCTTATGGTTGGCAGTCCAGTGCTTATCCTACAGCACCAACCCAGGACTTCTAACTCAAAGTGTTGTTGTTATGTGCTGTCGGATTGGTTCCGACTCATAGTGCCTTGTATTGGGTTTCTGAGGAGTGGCTAGTTTGAATGCCTACTTTGTGGTTCAAACCTCCCTTGCTGTCCAGTGTTTATCCTATAGCACCACATGAGGACAATACTCCATGTGTTCAAGCTGATCACATTTCAACTTTGGCTTTCCAATTAAGTAATATAAATTCCTAATTTTAGTGGACATATGTCTAATCCTACAGTTTTTCTCAGTGGACCTACATCTCTTCTAATTTCTCTCTAATTTTCAATATTTTTTAGAACGTCCTTGTTCACCTCTGGTAAGATCATGACTCCCTGCTTTGTTTTTCAATAACATAGAACTCCCTTCAACTCTGATACAAGAGTTTTCTCATTTGGAACTACATAGATGTGACACAGTAGAATAAGCACTGGATTGATAACTGCAAGGTCAGTCGTTCAAACCTACCAACCGATCCTTGGAGACCCTACTTATACAGGGTTGCTATGAGTCGGAACAGACTTGATGGCGCTTAACAACAGCAATAGCATACTACTTTAGGAGTTGAAGGAGATGTCTGTCATCATTTCCTGCATATTTTTAGAGTAGACACATACTGAGCTAACCCTTTTTAAGTTCAGGTTTATGGTTTGGTCCTGAATTTTCTAGCTACTAAATTGTCCCAAGTTCTTATATAATGAAATTCATATAGGTAATGCATTTATACTAAGTGCTTTCTATATTACAGGACCTCGGAAGCAAGAATAGAATAACTGTGGTCCTTTGTTTTGCTCTTACATAATTTTCACTAGTCTGTTACAATATCAGAGTCTTTAAAAATTTAAAAAAAAAAACAACACTATCTTAAAGATTCATGTTATTTGTATGCCCAGATTCCTCCATGCTTA